AGTAGTTGGATGTGAAAGCTTTACACTGTAGGAAAAAACATCCCAGCTTTTCCATTTGCTTTTAAGGCCGTTTTATGGAATCTTTTATGAATGAAATTAATTCTTATTCAGCAAATACTTGCACATGTTTTCTTCCTTTGAAGTGAACCAATAACTCATGCAGGCTGCCCAGAGAAGCTGTGGCTGCCCCATTCCTTGAAGTGTTCAAGACCAGCCTGGACAAGTCTTGGAGAAACCTGGTCTAGTGGAGGGTGTCCCTGCCCATGGCCAGGGGGGTGGAACAAGATGATCTTTAAGATTCCTTCCAACCCAAACCATTCTGGATTCTGTGATTAAGGATGGGTTTAAGACCCCTGTTTAAGCATGTTCTCAGCATATATCAATTTTGAAAATGTCAAAACTAATAAGTGATCTCTTCTGAATAATTTCTAGAGATTTCTATAATGTTTTTGTTATAATTTTGTGTGCTATGCATGCAATTTAAAAATGCTTTAAAATGAAACTTAAATAGAGTCATTTTCTAATAAACATTCAGGACTACCATGTAAATCGATTAGTCACAGAGCAGTGATCTGCAAAAGTAAACAATCTGGGAAAAGTTCTAACTTTTAGGTTTTGATCCAGAAATTCTTGTATTCACAAGTTTAACTTTGTCACACAACTATTCCCATACTAGATGATGTGATGAGACTATTCATAGACATACAAAAAAGGAATTTTTCACATTTTTAGTTTTGTACAGAAAAGTAAGCCCAAATTGACAAATGCCCACTTCATCATACCCCAGATACCTGTAAATGGCTTACATCAAGTACTCAAGTAATTTACTGTCAAAAGGAGGAAAAGTAGTTATTTCTGACAAACAAGTAAAATATTTTAGTATTACCTCTCTCAGCATAACACAACAGCATTTGTTCCAGGTTTTTTAAAGGCTTTTGTGGAGCACACAATTTAGACAAGAAGTATTTTTGAAACTAGGAGGATGATGGTGATGGCCTTTTTTGTGGAATTCAAAGAAGAGACTGAGCAAGAAACCCTGGCCTTAAAGAAGGCAACAAAAAAAGCAGCTCTTGTAGGAAACAGACCTTTTAAATATGAGCATATTAAAATCTGTAAAATGATCTCAATTCTGGAAGTTGTAAACAATGCTTGTTGGCAACTGGGTTTAAATGCAAAGAAAAACCTAAATATAAAATACATATATCAATGCCTCAGTGATGAGAAGAAAACACACTTATACAGTGTTATAGTATTGGGCTCAGCAGGTGCTGTTTTTCTCTTTGTCTCCATCTCCTCTCAGGTTAGCCCACTTTTATTTAATCTCATTACAGATAAATATAATCTTCAAATCAGATTGAGTTCTAAATGGGGCTTTGCCTCTAATTTTTTCCTACGTGACCTAGCAACTCCCTTAAACATTTCTTGAGATACCTGACCCTCCTTCCCAAGGTGATAAGCCCTCATTTTTTTCCCTTAGGTCCTTCAAAAGCTCCTGGCCCATCTAGGCCAGTCTTTTTTCTGTTGGCTTATCCTTCAGCACATAGGGACAGCCTGTTCCTGTGCCTTCAAGATTTATGTTTTGAAGCGTGTTCATCCTTCTTGGACTCCTTTGTTTTTAAGGGCTGCTTCCCAATGTACTCTCTGAATAAGTCTCTTGAATAGGCCAAAATCTGCCCTTTGGAAGTCCAGTGTGGAAGTTTTATTGATGCCTTCTTGTTTCACCAAATATTGCAAACTATAATTTCATGGTCACTACAACCCAGACAGCTTCCAACCACCACATCTCCCACCAGCCCATCTCTGTTTGCAAACAGCAGGTTTGCATACTCCCTTCCCAGGCAGGCTCGTTCACCAAGAAGTTACCCTTCATACACTCTAAGAACCTCCTAGACTGCCTCTTCTCTGCTGTGTTGAGTTCCCAGCAGATATCTGGCAAGTTAAAGTTACCTACAAGAACAAGGGCTGGTGATGTTGAAACATCCTCCATCTGTTACAGAATAAATCATCCACCTCTTCATCCTGGTTAGGTGATCTGTAGCAGACTCCAACCAGGATGTCAGCCTTTTTGGCCTTGCTCCAATTCTTAGCCATAGGCACTCACCTTATCATCGTTAGTCTCAATTTCCATGGCATTGAGAGCTTCCCTAATATACAGACCCACCCCTCCACCTCTTCTCCCTCTCATGCTTCTTCTGAAGAGCTTGTAGACATCCATTGCAGCACTCCAGTTACGTGAGTCATCCCACCACGTTTCTGTGATGGTGACTACATCCTAACTCTCTTGCTGTACCATGGCTTCCAGCTCCTCTTGTTTGTTACCCATGCTGCGTGCATCAGTGTACATGCACTTCAGCTGGGCTGTTGATTTCACCCCTGACTCTGGCTTACCACCCTTGGGCTTGTTTCTGGAGAGCCCAGTTGCATCCTCTTCCCCCTTGATATAGACCAGGGACTAAAGGATTAGCAGAATAAGTATTTTCTCCCTCCTAAATATAGAAAAACTATTTCCTCCTTCCTAAATGCTGTCATGGAGTTTTATAAGGGGTCTTGTTGCAGCTAGAACCTTAGATCCAATCTCTTTATGTTCTCTGCTGTGAATTAGCCTTCCTTCAAAACCTTATTCTGAGAAAACGAAATGGTTTTTGGTCCCAGAAGGACCTCAGCCCAGCAGAACCAGATGACACTGCCCTGACATTGTTCTCCTTCTTCTCAGCTTTCTACAAAAGTGTACCACGATGCTGGGAACAGTGGAGAGGGGAAGACTAGGAGACAAGCATATCTTCTTTCAGCAGATTTCTTCATTTTCAGAGCAGACCGTAAAGCTGGAGTGACAGACAGGCCCACGGCTACACTTCCTCTTCTGGGTGTCCTTACCTGGGCAGGGGGTAAGAGCAGCCTCTGATAACCTGTAACAGGCTCTCTTACTGCTGCTTAACCATGGGACTTGGTTAAAGGCTGATAACCCAATGCCAGAGGATAAATTTTGTGATTCTCCCTCGCCACCCCTTCTCTCTTCAAAGAAAAATTCACAGAAGGAAGAAGGTAAAACCTTGGATTGAAAGCTTCTTGTGGATTGTTTTCAACATTATCATGAAGATGCATTTTTCTTTGTCAGCTGGACCTTTCAGTCCTTTGTTCAAGGGACAGTACTTGGGAAGTAAAAATTAGGATTGAGGAGTGTTAGAAAGGTTCAATCAACCTGTCCCCTGTGGACAGGAAAAAAAAAAAAAAAAGAGCTACAGGTCCATAAAGTTGTTACGTTCAAATTAGTATGGAATTCAAGCATGCTGGCTTAAAACTCTGGGTGAAATTTTACTCTTTTTTTTTTGGGAAATACTGAAATGTGACTTGCCAAGACATATGGGAAGAGGAGGGGATTGCAAGGGAAGGAATCAACAAAACCTGGAGAACACAAATACCAACAAAAGGTTTGTTTAGAGACAGGCTGGCATGATGATCAAATATGATTAACATGAAAGGGCTGGAGATGTCAGAATTTCTGGGAGCTGTCTCCAGATCTTAGTGTCCTTTATCTGCTATTTTTTGTTCTTTTACTACCAATACTATCTATTGGCATAACTGTATTATTTTCTCAAGCCTTTTTTCAGACACAGCTGTGGCCTGTGACCGAAGTAAGACATAGGAAGCAGATGCAAATCCTTTGAAATTAAGTTGCCTACCTGGTCTGAGTTTTACTCTGAGCAACTACATATTGTTATAAATGAAAAATGAAAAATAGCAAATTTTAATAAAAAAATTAAAATTAAATTTATTTCGCGACCGTAATACAGTCCCGACAGCCACCAATCAATCAGACAGCGTACCACTCCCTGACAGTGAGGGGTGGATGTGGATTTGGCCTCTATCGCACCAAATCCCCCTTGTCCATACCGGCTGTTCCCAGGCCGTGGTTCATTATACGTTTTAATTCGTCTGCAGCAGAGTTCCTTTGTCTCTATTTTGAAGTCTTCATATTCATGTTCAGTCTTTTCTTCGGTCCAGGCTGCACAAAGCCTTCGTCCGGGAATTGAACAATACGTTTCCCCGATTCCCGGAATCTGGCATTCAGATGGCAGGTGCTGATGGCTCTGGTCATCTCAGATGTGTATCTCGTCCGGGCCATCATCTCCTGGGTGTCACTGGACACGTGCCTTCCTGAACGCCCATTGCCCATCTCCCGTACAGCCGAAGTTCCTTCGAATGCAAATGTCGTGGTGCCTCCTTGCCCATCTGCCGCGGTTTCACCATCCTGGGGATGAAATCTCTCCCCCCCCTATGCACCAACAGTTTGTTTCATACATATATATATTTTATACATATTTTATTTCCACGAATTACTAACCATATTTCTAACAATATAACTGAAATTTCCTTTTATTTTTTTTTTTTGGGCTGTTGTATAGACTAAGATACACACTGCAGGGTAGTTAAGAACATGTAAAGTTGCTTTTTCTTTGTTAACAGACACGTTCTGGCATACATTTGGGAAAAAAAAAAACAGCTGTGTGTTGATAAAAAATAAAATCACCAGCTTTCAAATTATTTGGTGTGGTGGTTTGGGTTTTGTTGTTGTCATTGTACTTAGCTGAATCCTGAAAAAAAGTAATTCATTGTATGTTTCTGTGTCAGCCTTCCCCTCAGAGCTGCCAACAGCAGGAGACCTTTTATGAGTGGAAAAACCTGTGGATGTTTTTCATTTTTTGTGTGCATATTTCAGCCTTCCAAAGCGCATTCTTCTACCTGCAGCTCTTCATGCAAAGTCAGAGCTAACCTTCTGCTTTGTGAGACCACAAAGCAAATTGTTTTGGCCTCTGGGCCCCATCTGTGGAAATTTTTACACAGGGTGAGTTATGGCAGCATTTAAATAGTTATCAAAAATCAATCCTGAGAGCATAAATCACTTAAGAGCATTGTTCTGGCCGGGTCACGGAACATTTTATTGCTGGGCAGTACGGACAAGCCCGTCTGAGGTTTGGGAGCACGCCGGGTCCCCACGGCAGCCGAGTACTCCCAACCTGGACTGGCAGCAGTTTCACCGGCACGACCCCAGCCCTGTACCCCCGCTCGCCTGCCTTACAAACGGGCCGTGGCTCTGATCTCAGATTACAAACTATCACAGTTTCAATCCCACTTGAAAGACAGTCTCGACTTTAACCAGGAGCCCCCTCGAAGACCGCAAGACCAAGGCGGCGCAAACACCGGCGCCGCCTCCCGCAGCCCTCAGGGACACCCCCCAGCTGCCGGGCAGCACAAAGGCGGCGGGAAGCGCGGAAAAGGGAAAAGCCGGCCGCAGCCACTCCAGGAGCTGCGGCCCCGCTCGAGGGCGGTCGCAGGGGACAACGGGCCCATCCCGGATCCCGCCTGCCCTCCTCCTCTCCTTCCCACCGTGACCCGCCCCCGCCATGAGGCGGACGGTGGCTCCGTGCACGCAGCCGGCATGGAGCGGCTGGGGCGGCGCGGCCGGACGGAGAGGTGCCCGGCCTGGGGGGCATTGTTTCCCCTTTTCCTCCTCCTCCTCCTGGCAGGTCAGCGGGACCGGCGTGGGGCGGGGGACGGGCGCGAAGCTGCGGGCAGCGGGTGTGAGCGGGGCCGGCGTTTTAGGTCAGATGTGGAAGCTTTTCCTTGTCGGCGATTGAATTGGCATGCGGAGTTGGAAGGCGTTCCCCGGGGTGTCCCAGCAGGGACAGGGCAGGGTGTGGTGTGAGGGAGCCTCTCTCTGGCTGCAGGGAGAGTAAACCTCGAGAAGACAGGACTGAGAGAGGACCTCATTAACGTGTAGAAATGTCTGAAGTGGGTGTGCCGAGAGAACGGAGCAGAGGCTCGGTGGTATCGAGCAGTGGAGGGGGTTGGGCAACGCGCAGAAGTTGATGCACAGGAAGTTACACCTGATCATGAGGAAGAACTTTACTGTGAGGATGTCCACACACTGGAACAGATGCTCCCGAGTGGTTGTGGAGTCTCCCTGAATAGAGATACCCAGGAACCGTCTGGATGCAATCCCGTGCCACATGTGCTCTAGGATGATCCAGCTTGAGCAGTCAGGTTGGACCATGATGATCCACTGTGGTCCCTTCCCACCTGACCCGTTCCATGATTCTGTGATTCTGTGAACCCACCCGCATAGGATAGACCTGTGATGTGCAGGGTGAAGGCACCACTTTGGTGCTCTCCCACCAGGGCAGAGCCTGGAGGTGTCCTGGCTTGGCACAGCTGGAGCCACGAGTACGCATGCCAAAAAAGAGGTGACATTGCAAAAGCCTGGAGCTACTGGCACAAGGTGTGCCAAAGCCTTGGTATGGGGTGTCCTGTGTGGCAGTCATCCTGCATTGCTGCTTTCTGTAGAAGTGCCTGTACTCCCCTTGGCCTGCTGTTCTTCTGGAGACAAGTGTCCTGCTGGCTGCCCTGATTCCCTTGTTGGCAGGGCTGTTTGGCAGAATGATGGGTTAATTGTTCTGTTTTTTTCATGTGTTTCTTTAATCCAGGGGTCATCTCACAGGGTTAGGGTGCGTCTGCCTGGGCTGACCCATGTGCTGTGTTGCACAGCCCTCTCCAGCCGTCGCTTGGTGCTCATTTTCAAGTGGAGACCAAGTGTGAGCAGGTTCAGAGAGCTGACCTGCTAAAATCCTGTGAGCAGTCAGGCTGTGAGATGGGTCAGCAGCATGAGTCAGTGAGCAAAGGAGTCTCAGTGCAAGGTGGGAACTTTCACCTACTTGGGGCAGGAACAGGAGCGTGGCAGAAGCTGAGATGAGGTAGGGTTGCCCGGATCCCAGCACACCAACCAAAAGGGTCAGCGCAAATGAAAGGCAGTAATGGCACTGGGAGAATTAGAACCTCTCAGGTGAGTTGCAGCCTGGGAAAGGGGAGCTACAGTGCATTGGGAATGCAGAAGCATGGTTTGGCATCTTTGATTTCAAGTCTTGCAGTATGTGACCAAATAGGTCACCAAGGGTGATGGTGTATGGGACACGGAGTCTCTCTGAATTTATCCAGGCTGCAGCTTGAAGCCTTGATGTGGGGACGGTGATCCCCAGGAATGTTTTTACAGTGCATTGGCAGTACAGTGCATTGGCAGTACAGTGTTGTCTTCTTGGGGGGACCTGACTTAGGGCTTTGAAAACACTAAATGTCATGACAGTAGAAGAGGTAGATACTGTTAAAATAGCTTCTCATAGGAATAAAAAGATATATGCTCTTCTATGTTTCTTAATTGTAAAGAGCTCTCTTATTGTTGTTTCACAGATTGCTTTTCCAGCAGAGCATTGTGGCTGAGAGCACTCGTGGCCTCAAGTGCCCTCAGTGGGGCAGAGAGGGCACTGCTGGCCACTGTGCCAGACACTGCCATGCTACACTGGCCATGTCCCTGCTGTTGGAGCACAGTGAGGGGAGCTGATGCCAGATGGCAAGGGATAAGGGAGCCCCAGGCTGGGACTGGGCAGGGACTAGGAGAAATAGCCTGTTCTCAGACAACTTCCTTCCCTCCTGCCACCCTCCAGGTCAACAAGACAGGCAGCCCAGAGTCAGGTTTCTTCTGGACTCCTTTTTGGGATGGAAAAAGTTGGTCTCTGATGTCTTGACATTTCAAAATGTTTTTTTTTAACTTTAAAGGATTAAGTATAAGGAGGAAATTATATGACCAGCTATGGAATACCCATATGGAAAGCACCTAAGTCTGAAATGCAGAATGAGTGGGAATGGGCTGCCATTAGGATTACAGAGTCAGATCGCACCTCAAGGGCAGTGCTGTGATTGTATGAAACTGTTAGATTGCATTTTCTTCAGAGCTGTGCTGTACAAGATTTTGATGTTGGACATCATGAGTGTTATTTTTATTCAGCAGAAGATTGTTTGGCTCAATGTGATAATGACTGCAAGGCTTACTGCTGTGATGGGACTACTCCCTACTGCTGTTCATATTATGCCTACATTGGGAATGTCTTTTCGTGAGTATATTTGTACTTAAAAAAAGGTGTGCTGTTTTCATGAAGTCAGTGTAAATTTGCTGTGGCAAAACTATGTTTTGGCAATAAACTGAGGCAGGATTTGGGTTTTTTTGTTTCAGTTTGGTTTGTTTTTTTCCTTGCTGGTAACAATCTTTGGTATTCCTTTGAGGTCTCATGTTACATGAATTTTTGAAACATACCAGAAAGCTTGCTAAAATTGTGGGTTCTGTCCTTATTTTGTGTACAGTAATATAATTTCTGGATTTAAGCTTTAGAGATAGTGAGAACTTTATTTCAAGCTCGAGCTGAAAAGATCTGTGAATAGAAATCTTGTGTGTTTTGTTGAAATGGTTTCTCACACTGAGTTGATAATGATTGAATAGTAATTCAAATTACTTGGATTTGAAATTCATATTGCTTTGAGTACTTTTTTTTAATTTTCACTTTTATTTACTAGTTTATTTTTGTTAAATAATGTTTTGGCTGTTGGTGGAATTTATTGAGCAGATTCTAGGTGAGAGTAATCCGATCCTTTAACAATGTTGTATGAACAGCATGTTTCACAGTGCTTTAAAAAACAGGGCAGATGAAATGAAGTGGTTACAAATATTTTCTGTCTAGCGGAAAATGTAGGAATAAACTGTTGATTAAAAAACATAGGCTCTAGTGCAGCTGTTTGTCTTTGCATCAGTGAGGAAGAAGAGAAGCTTACCTGCTAATGGACCTGACTCTGGCCTTCACTAAAGTCACATCTCACAAGTTGTACATTCAACTTTGCAAGGGCAAACCTAAATGAAACATAAAATGTGGTTCTTCATGATAGGGCATTTTACCTTCTGTTGCATCAATTACACTAGTAATTTCCTTAGCCTACAGTCTGTGACTTATTTTTGGTTTGTGATAAATGGCTACTCACTTTTAATAATTTTAGTAAGGTTTATTAAACCTTATAAAAAAAATACAACAGAAGACTGAATAGAGAAAATGTTACTGCACTGGGAGCAAAGGATTTTCCCACCATGTGCTCACCCACACAATGGAGGTTTCACTTTTTAACCCTTTAACCCTTCCAAGGTGCTGTACATAGACCCCTTCTTTGCTGTCCTGTGGTGGAGATTACTTCCTCAAATCCTGATTGGAGGTCAGATGTCACCATAGTGACAAGCCAACCCTCCCAGATGTCCCATCCCTGGCTGTCTCTTGATAACAATGTAAAGGGGTAAAACATAATTCTAAATCTGTAAAACTTTTTCTTGACCTAAATACATGATATTTGTCTGTAAGTTGTGAGAGTCAGTCATTGCATTACTCATCTATTACAGGTTTATATTCTTGACTAAAACCAGAGAAGATAAAAATGACATCGCATATGGACTGCCTGGTACTTGGAGAAGACTGAGTGGGATGGTGATAATTGCTTTTTTTTTAGAAAGACTCCTCTGATGCAAGTTTTGTTTCAGCCATGGTACCTGGGGAATATTCCAGTGTTCCCATCAGTATATTTTATAGCACTTTGAAGGAGTAGGCAGAGTGATGGTATTTTAATATAGAATTGATCCACAGTTTTTAAAACAGATCATATGCTTCCTGGGCTTAAGTAAATAAATTATGGTAGAACACCAGAATCCTTCATTCATCTGGAAATGACAAAGCATGTATTTAAGATGGTTGTTGTTTAATGACACGTGATTTTTTTTCCTGATTACTGAGTGAATGTTTGCTTTGATTTGTTGTTCTATTTTTTCATTTCAAAATTGTTTTTCAATTTACAAGCATCAAAGGAGTTTCTCATTCTGAATACCTTGTTCCAGACCATGTGTGATGGACACAAGAGCATAGGACATCACATTATAAGAAGGAGGCTTCCTGTAGAACAAATGGATTTAATCTCTCACTTCTGTGAGTGCATAGCTAGCATTTGTCTAGCCTAATGTCAGAGCTGTGCTTTGTGAAGGCCTTGACCAGGGGCTTCTTTAGAGCGACCACTGAAATGCTGAAACCATGCCTTCAGCACCAAGTTGACACCTTGTCTTTGGTATGTTTCTTTAACAAATGTAAGTAGGTATTGAATTAGAGCTGAAGTGTGAGTGGCTCTGACACATTTGGAAGGGTTTGTGTATATCTGGGTGGATTTGAATACTAGAGGAGGCTCTTGCAAGTGCTGTTTGCCACAACACATCTTGAAGGAGACATTTGATCCTTCTAATTTTTTATGGTTAAATACTCCAATGCATAGACTTGAAGATCAGTCAGCAGTTGTTATACTCCTTTGACCCGGAATTTTGAATGATTAAGTCACAGATTTTTTTTTTTCTCCTAAAAGCAGGTCAGGACATGTCTTCTTTAAACATGTAATCTCATTTTGAAAACTTCAGACATTAATGAGTTGACCATCTATCCTGGTAAACTGTTCCATAGTTCATTTACTAACAGCACTGGGAAATTTTACAGTGAAGGTTGAAATTCCTACTGTCAACTCTTAACTTTTGTGCAAGTTTGAAATGTGGCCTTAAACAGTCATCATGACAGCTCTCAACCATATTGCTGAGCTGGGTGAACTCTGTCAGCCTCACATGTAAGATTTACTTTGTTTTGTTTTGCCCAGCTCAGGGATCAAATCTTTGGCCTTCTTTTGAGCTCCGTCTCATGTGTTCACCTCCTTCTTTAAGTATGGCTGGCAGGGCTGCACACAGGGTTTGACAGAATCCTTGCTAGGACTATTTTACCTGTACCTCTCTTTGAGTACCTATTTTGAAGCAGGTATCTCTGATGGTCACAGAAAACATAAATGAATTCAGCAATTTGGTCCATCTCTAAATCTGTAAATCACAGCCTTCAAAGCAAGTCTGCTGATTTAAGCCTGCAAACTGTTATTTTCTGAGGCTAGTACCTTGGATTTAGTTGCATTGCAAAAGATTTTATTGTGGCTTTAATTATGCTCCATAAGAATAACCTTCCCTTTTCACTGTGGGCACTATATTGGTCTTTAATTATGTGCGAGAAGTTTCATGTTGCCTCACTCCCAAATAACAAACTGATAAAATTGCATTAGAATTTGGAAATGGTCACTAGTGTCCTTTCTGCTTGTGTCTTTCTGTTGATAATTCTGTATTGAAATATTTAAAAGAGCTTAATTTAATCCAAGACACTATGTGTCCTGATACTGTTCTTTTAATATCCTTTATGCCTTTCAACATAAAAATTTTTGATCCTACTTTCTGCACCAAATAGATGTGATCTGCAGGGTTGCTTCCAGAGGTGCCTTTTTACTGCATGAAACACATATAGTCCTCAGTGTTGTCTTGTCTCTGCTTCTGTAGAGGTTGCTTGCACTTTCTCATTTGCCTACCACTAGTTTCTATGTTCTCTCTATTCTTTATAAATCTGCGTGTCTTTCTAGTGTTTCTGCTCTTTATCTTCTTTGGGATGGTTTTGGGTTTGTTTTTTCACAAGCATAACTCTCTCTTAGTTTTAGGAAATACTTTTGGCATGCAATAGGTACCTTTTAAACAATTCTCTGTTTTGTTTCCTGCCTCTCACTCATTTTCTTTTTAGGTCCATATGCCAGCAGTTGTACAGACTATGAACACCAGCAATAATGTATATAGTGATTTTGAAACAAAATCAGTGTAACTAGATAGTGATCATTATTGCTTAGGTTGTACCTTTTAAGTGATTAATTAACTCTTCACTCATTAAAACAAGTTTCAACGTTGAGATATTGCATGTAGGGTTTTAGAATTTTCTATTTAAGAAATCATCATCTTTTTAGAATACCAGGGATGTTTTTTAAGTTAGAAGATATTTTCAGCAAACATCCTTCGGGCTGTGTGCATCTCTGATAAACATGTTTTAATTTCTATGCATGAAGAGCAGATGCAGATTTATCCACTCACTGTAGTTTTTGGGGTTTCAGAGCCTGTATGAGTAAGTCCAGTTCTAGTTGGAGTACAGGTATAATCTATAAGCGTTCAAAGTCTGTGAGTGAGCCACCTGTAATCTCATGAGCATCTCTAATGTAAAATAATACATTCCTTCTCCTTCTTTCCCCCTTCATGATAACCTTTCAGAGCAAGTCGTTACAGTATTAATGTTGCAGCTATATTTCCTTTCCTGTGATTTTTCAATAGCTACAGCCTGTCAGTATTTCCTGATACATAAGCATTTCCTCTGTTTGTTTGGCATCTTGTGCTTCGTAGTTAGCTCTTCTAAACTTTTTTTTTTTTTGCCTGGGAAGGTTACAGATTTATACTGAGACTTGTGCAACATTACAGGGCTGTGTCTGTGAGATTAAGGAAAAGGCACAGGGATGCTTTAGTGCTCAGGCTGTTTCTCCTGGTCATCTTGCCACTGCCTACTAGAAAGACAAGCTTGGAGACATCCTTCCCAGCCTTTGGCATCATCCTGGCCCTTGAAGTCAAGAAATTCAGGCTGTCCTTCTCAGAATCTAGTTTCTAAGCTATTGAATCGCTTATGACTGACCTTTTGTTGGCTTTCCTGTGCTGCTGCATTTTGCTACCAGGCTGAGGACTAAGGTGACTTAGCAGCATGTTTCCTCTGTGACAGGTGCTCCAGGTTTGCCCACAACAGAGTGACTGCTGAAAAGTATCTCCCATCCTGACCAGACAGCATTTTGCCTTTGTTCTCTCAGAGATTTTGGAAACATCTGATGATTACTTCCAGCCTTAAGCCCCAGAGCTCCTGACACCAGAGATGGGTGTCAGGACAAGAGGGTTTCTTCTGCAGGACCCAATTTTGAGTGTAGTTTTGACAGTGCTTTTTTTATTTGGTTTCAAGAGGCTTTAAATTGTCTGACCCTTATGCTTATCCTAGTGGATTTTCTGAGGGCTAAATTCCAGCTAAATTTTTTTCTTCCACATTGTGCCTTGTGTTTGTCTTGGCACATAGATAGCTTTTGGGCCACAACTAGATCTTTGGACAGGGAAGTCAGTAGGAGGATATCAAATGCCTTCTTGCTGGTCCTAAATCGCGAGCCAGAC